GAAAATTGTATATTTCAACTAAACCTGATGAGATGTCTGAACTGTCTGAGCTATCTGAGTGTATCAAAGATGTTAAAGACTGGATGACCAACAATTAATAACAACTTTAATTTTAAATATTCACAGACACTAATAGTCATGTGGTTCACAAATCGATTAGGGCTGCATATATACTGCTGAACAATGAAAAATATCTTTAATTTACTCATTGTAAACTACCGTGACTTTTTCTGGAGCTTTTGAAGTGTAAACACTTTAGTCCTCATTGACTGTAATTGTGTGAAAGAGAGCAACCAGCGCTATTCTTCTACCAATGACAAACACCTACACAATGATGAACAATAAATAGAGACATGAGTGGATTATTTCACTAATTGTGATTCATTTGAGTCAGTGCTAAAGAGTGCTCTTAATATTTTGTGTGTTTTGTAAAGTGGAAGCGCTCCAATCATAATCACCAGAGTGAAGGTAAGATCCAGTTCCCTTTAATGGTAGCTACGCAGACAGTGCCAGAAACAATGAGAACTCAATTATTTTAGGACCTCATCCAAAGTGAACACCAGGGATGTGAGAACTTAAAATCTAGCGTTTCTAGATAAAGACATGCTGGGTTCAGTCCAAAATAGCTTAACTACAATAATACATGACTTCAGATCACATAAAGACTACAGATGGGGCTGATTTTCTCATCAATAACTTGACATAAGTGCTTGTATTGTTCATGGTTACTGTATACACAAGTTTGCTTCATTATCTATCCAAAATAACAACAAAAAATGCTTTGCCTATATATGCCCAAGTAACACTACGGCTGCAAATGAGCGCCATGAAACAACATGTTGCATCACTTCCGGTTCAGATTTGTATTTGCTAGACCAGTGGTTCTGAAAGTGGAGGAGACAATGAAAAGGGGGGAGGTCGCTTGGTGATTTCCAAAAATATCATATGTAGCAGACTTCATCCCTCACCACAAAGAATTCTCCGACACCACTGGCTTTGGTGCATCACGTCTGCAGTTTATTAAAGACAGGACAGTGGTAAACACCACACAGACACACTCTCAGTTCTCTGATCTGTCTTAATCAAGTCCAAATCCGTTCTCATTTAACAATAAACAATGGTTTTCTAAACGAGGTTTTGTTCGGTAAAACACAAACATTTCTAGTGCGCATGTGCCACAGCCTCGCTGTGATTGGCTGATCACGCTGTACACAGAAAAAAACCCGCGTTCACAACAGGTAATCTCTAAAAACGACGAATATAGATTAATTAATAACAAAATATAGACTCAGACATGAACAACATTGTACAATCTGGATCAAAATGACCTTAAATTCATAAAAATAACCCTGACACCTCCATCTCTGCAAATATCAAGCAAGTTCAATCAAGGACAAACTCAGTTATTTACTTTAATTGTAGCTAAAAGCAAACTACAGCAATCTGCCAAGAGTTAAACAATAACAAATGATAATACTTGCACTGTTGTGGTAGAAGTAGTGCACATTTAATGTTAATACAGCTTGACTGTCATTTAACATCAATACAATATTGAGCAGCCTGTATTACACACAACATGTTCAATATTAATTCAGCTTTTTGCCTTTAAAAGAAGAGAGAAGTCAATGATTTATTTAAATGATTTAGCCTGACATGTTTACTGTTTCAAAATATTATGTATTGTGTTTAATGTGATAAAAAGGTTGTTTTTTACTCAGACATTTAAAAAGAACTTATTTTAGAGCAGTAATCACAATATTGTGATACTACGGTATTTTTATTCAAGGTTTGTCATACCGTCTGAAGCTTATACTGGCCATGCTAATCTCTTCTCAACAAATTTGGTTTAAAATCAAATTAAATGTCAAGTCAGCTGATTCGCCTACCTTAATGACTCTGTTATACTTTTGTTAACGCTGTGAACGAACCAGTTTTCTTCTTTATTCTTCGTTTGGTTTTCTAAACGAGGTTTTGCGTTTGTTTGGTAAAAGCAAATGTTAAACACAAACATTTCTAGTGCGCATGCGCGACAGCCTCGCTGTGATTGGCTGATCACGCTGTACACAGAAAAAAACCCGCGTTCACAATTGGTAATCTCTAAAAACGGCGAATATAGATTAATTAATAACAAAATATAGACTCAGACATGAAAAACATTGTACAATCTGGATCAAAATGACCTTAAATTCATAAAAATAACCCCGACACCTCCATCTCTGCAAATATCAAGCAAGTTCAATCAAGGACAAACTCGGTTATTTACTCAAACTGTGCCTAAAAACAAACTACAGCAATCTGCCAAGAGTTAAACAATAACAAATAATAATACTTGCACTGTTGTGGTAGAAGTAGTGCACATTTAATGTTAATACAGCTTGACTGTCATTTAACATCTAAACAATATTGAGCAGCCTGTATTACACACAACATGTTCAATATTAATTCAGCTTTTTTCCTTAAAACGAAGAGAGCAGAAGTCAATGATTTATTTAAATGATTTAGCCTGACATGTTTACTGTTTTAAAATATTATATATTGTGTTTAATGTGATAAAGAAAGTAGTTTTTTTTACACAGACATTTAAAAAGAACTTATTTTAGAGCAGTAATCACAATATTTTGATACCACGGTATTTTTATTAAAGGTTTGTCATGAAGCTTATACTGGCCATGCTAATCTCTTCTCATCAAATTTAATTTAAAATCAAATTAAATGTCAAGTCAGCTGATTAGCCTACCTTAATGACTCTGTTATACTTTTGTTAACGCTGTGAACGAACCAGTTTTCTTCTTTATTCTTCGTTTGGTTTTCTAAACGAGGTTTTGCATTTGTTTGGTAAAAGCAAACGGTAAAACACAAACATTTCTGGTGCGCATGCGCCACAGCCTCGCTGTGATTGGCTGATCACACTGTACACAGAAAAAAACCCGCGTTCACAACAGGTAATCTCTAAAAACGGCGAATATAGATTAATTAATAACAAAATATAGACTCAGACATGAACAACATTGTACAATCTGGTTCAAAATGACCTTAAATTCATAAAAATAACCCTGACACCTCCATCTCTGCAAATATCAAGCAAGTTCAATCAAGGACAAACTCGGTTATTTACTCAAATTGTGCCTAAAAACGAACTACAGCAATCTGCCAAGAGTTAAACAATAACAAATAATAATACTTGCACTGTTGTGGTAGAAGTAGTGCACATTTAATGTTAATACAGCTTGACTGTCATTTAACATCTAAACAATATTGAGCAGCCGGTATTACACACAACATGTTCAATATTAATTCAGCTTTTTTCCTTAAAACGAAGAGAGCAGAAGTCAATGATTTATTTAAATGATTTAGCCTGACATGTTTACTGTTCTAAAATATTATGTATTGTGTTTAATGTGATAAAAAGGTTGTTTTTTACTCAGACATTTAAAAAGAACTTATTTTAGAGCAGTAATCACAATATTGTGATACTACGGTATTTTTATTCAAGGTTTGTCATACCGTCTGAAGCTTATACTGGCCATGCTAATCTCTTCTCAACAAATTTGGTTTAAAATCAAATTAAATGTTGAGTCAGCTGATTCGCCTACCTTAATGACTCTGTTATACTTTTGTTAACGCTGTGAATGAACCAGTTTTCTTCTTTATTCTTCGTTTGGTTTTCTAAACGAGGTTTTGCATTTGTTTGGTAAAAGCAAATGTTAAACACAAACATTTCTGGTGCGCATGCGCCACAGCCTCGCTGTAATTGGCTGATCACGCTGTACACAGAAAAAACCCGCGTTCACAACTGGTAATCTCTAAAAACGACGAATATAGATTAATTAATAACAAAATATAGACTCAGACATGAGCAACATTGTACAATCTGGATAAAAATGAGCATAAATTTATAAAAATAACCCGACACCTCCATCTCTGCAAATATCAAGCAAGTTCAATCAAGGAAAAATTCGGTTATTTACTTAAATTGTGCCTAAAAGCAAACTACAGCAATCTGCCAAGAGTTAAACAATACTAAAAATAAAAATAAATGCTGTGGTAGAAGTAGTGCAAATTTAATTTTAATACACGCAGATTTCGCGTTAATACAGCTTGACAATACAATATTGAGTGGCACATACAATATGTTCAATATTAACTCCGCTTTTTTTGTGTAAATGATGATATATTTTGTAAAAATGGACGCAATATGATCTGGAATATGAATGCACGGTACTAGTAAAATAAGCAGACGCGCATGCAGAGGAGTCTTCACCTGCTCATTACAGCAGATCACCAACACTTGATAATAAACACGGTTATTTAACCAGGAGGAGACAGAATCGTGTTAAGGAGCCACACGCACGCGCATGCATGTCCCGATTAAAGATGAGTTGCCCACGCGCGTGGAACTGAGCTAAATTTACACAGCAAGTGATTAAAGAGCTGCTCGATCGGCGAAGAAAACACTAAAAGCACGGGTGGACGATCCAACACAGTCTTCTGCCTACTTGTTCGCGCATCTGCATGAATAATGCAACAGCATCGCATTTATTACAGCGGGTCAGCGAGGGCGAGCGCGTCTGCTTTGGGCAGGGAGGTGACACTTACTGAACGCAAACTGAACACGATTTACTAAATACACCATCGATTTCCATCGCATATGAACTCATCATAACAGCACTGAGAGGGAAGCTCGTGAACGCACACAATAGCGAACAACAAAACCAATGCATTTCCACGTCAGCGCGTGCACACTTTCATTCATCAAGCCTGGTTTACTTGTGATTGAATAGGAATCCTGCAGCGGGTTTTCTTTGTGAACGCGTGTTTATTATGCTGCATTATTTCTGCCATTACTTTAGACTTAAAACAGCAATGCACTCGCGATCTCCACTGATCCTCATACGCTAGCCGAACTCGAAGAGGCTGTGCGTAATTGCAATAAAAGTGCGGCGTTAAAGTTTGAGACAGCGCAAGGGCATCTGACGAGTGAGCGCGGTAATGAAGATTACCTTGGGTTGTGATTTGTCCCCACAGGATCCCCATCCAGAGCATCAAGCCCGGCAGCGGAGCGTCAGTGTGAATGGACGGCATGATAAGATCCAGATCCAGAATAATGAGAGATGCGCAGAGGAGCTGGAGCTGTGTCTGCATGAGCTCCTGATCACAGATCTGTGTCTCCAGCTCTCTTCATCTCTCTCTCTCTCTTTCTCTCTCTCCTCTGCTGAACTCCGCAGTGTGTCTTCTGCTTCACTCACCCCTCCTCTCTCTCTCTCTCTCTCTCTCTCTCTCTGTGTGTGTGTGTGTGTGTGTGTGTGTGTGTGTGTGTGTGTGTGTGTGTGTGTGTGTAAAAGTTGCTGATGCTGTGAGGAGAATATGCTTCTGCTGTTTCCATTCTGAGTTCAGGGAAATAATAAATGCTTGCTCTTTTCAGAAGATAGACAAGATAGATAGATAGATAGATAGATAGATAGACAGACAGACAGATAGATAGATAGATAGATAGATAGATAGATAGATAGATAGATAGACAGAGATAGATAGACAAGATAGACAGACAGACAGACAGAAAGAAAGATAGACAGACAGACAGACAGAAAGATAGATAGACGGACAGACAGACAGA